AACTATATATGTAATTTTTTAAACTTTATATGTAATTTTTTAATTTAGATGATTAATTATTTTTTTTATGAGATTGTCAGCATATCAATTAATTTTTACGAAAAAATCATTTTTAAGAGAATAATATCATATTACTTCATCTTTAAAATGATTAATATGTGAATATTGGAGACAAAGATTGAGAAATAAATTAATATGATCGATTTAAGTAAATATATGTAACAAAAATAAATAAAATAAATAAAAAATGTATTACAGTAACTATGAAAGAAAAATAAGAAATAAAATAATAATGATTGTTTCGAGAATATTTAATGTGTTATGCCAATAACCATGTCTAATGTAAATTTGGCATGACACTCAAACCTAATTATGTATCAATCCAAAACATATAAGTATGACAAATAAGATCTCAAACCATGCGGGTCTTCCATTTAGGCTCAAAACAATCAGAAATTATATATAGGAGCGATAATATTATTATGCATGACAAAATCATAAAAATAATAGAAATATTGTTATATATAATTAATCCACCTGTGACAAGTAAATTTGACTAAATCTACAAATGTTTCATTCGGGATTTTTTTCTTCAATAAATAATAATAATAATAATAATAATAATAATAATAATAATAATAATTTATATTAATATCATGGATCAATCCTTATTGCCATAATTGACATGATTTTGGGCGGGAAATTTTTTCGTCTATATTTGGCATTTAATTAATATTTATTTATTAGCAAATCTTATGCACGAAAAACATAATTAAATTTTATACCCTATATGACTATTATTCATTAACTACAAATTGACTTACATTGAAATTTTGACCGTAGATTTATTAGATATATTTTCACTAAGATCTGATATTAATTTAATAGTAATTTATTGACACAATTCAAACAATTATTATGAAAATTAATTTGATTAAATATATTATAATCTATGGTTGTAGGTATTACTTTAATTAATTGTATTCACAATCCCACAAAGCCACTAGGCCGAGAAAGAGACTTTTGTAGTGGAATTTCATTAAAATAATCAGAATAACTATTAAATCATACTAACTTAATAAATAATTTAAAATATTAATAATTTTTTTTGAAATATAGCCAATTTAACTATAAAAACTGAAAAGGTACATCCCCATTGAATATATCATAGGCAGTGATAATATTATGGAAAATTTAAATAAAATACTAATAAAAATAAAATTTGATGCTCGGGTGCAATTCAGAATTATAAATTTCACCTTAGAATTATCTATATACATTAAAAAACTATTCAATTTTTAAAAATATATATTTTTTCTTATATACTATTTTATAAATTAAAAAATAAGTTAATAAAATAGCAATGTATAATAATTTAAATTATAGCACTTGGTAATTATAGAAACATTTAATATATCTAGATATTCGAATAGATACTATGTAATTCACAATATAGGTTGAAAAATGAATTAAAGAAATAAATTTAAACAAAAAATAAAAACATAAAAATAAAATATTTAACCATTAAAAATTTGTGTGTTGCATAAGGATTAAAGTTACTAAAAATTAAAATTTATCTATCAAAGTTTTTAACATTTAATGCACTTCATAATTATAGTGAAAGATAAATATTATGGGTTAAACGTTGGTGAATAATCAAGCAATGTGCATATAATGAATTGTTGAAAAATTTATAAGACTATAATAAACGACAATTTTATAAGTACATACAAGCAGTGTTTTGAGACCCGGACCGGCCCGTCCGGTCGACCCGGAACCGGAACCAGTCCGGGTGGAGTATTTGGACCGGGCAACCAAGGACCCGGACAAAACCCGGCCGACCCGGCAGAGACCCGGCTGACCCGGGGCATTGACCCGGCCGGGTCAACCCGGTTGACCCGGTCCATATATATATTTTTATTTTTTTTATTTTTTTTTATTTTTTAAAAATAAAAATATGTATATATGTTTATATGGTAAATATTTATCATGAGATATATATTATTAACACTTTAATATACAAATTTTATACACAAAACATTTAATTTTGTTACTTTTATGTATATTTATATAACAAAAATACTATATATATAATTTTAAAAATTTTAAAATTAATTATCCGATTCAGCAATTGACCCGGTGACCCGACGGTTGAATCGGTGATCCGGTGACCCGAGGACCTGCCCGGGTCAATCACCGGGTCGGGTTTAAAAGCTATGCATACAAGTAATTTGTATGCAAATATCATATAATATTATACATTTATAATATTTTATAAACTTATAAATAATAAAATCTATATATTAAATAGTCAAAAATGCAATATATATATATAAATAGAATAGAAATTAACTATCATAGTAAATAAATAAATATCATATTATTACTGAATAGAATATTGTAGAGAATATAATTTCATATTGTGTTAAATAATTTTATAATATTTAAATAATTTTTTTTGGTACAAATAAAAAAAAAATTGTAATGTACCTCGTGCATCCCACGGTATCAACACTAGTAATTATTAGGCATGACCATATAATAAAAATAATAGTAATAGAAAATTGTTATATATATATATATATCAACCTGGCCGATTACGGCGTTCGGGAAGTTTGCCCTGACGGCGGCCTCCAGCTCCCTCCCCATCGGCGCCGCCCCACTGTACACCTTCCTCACTGTCGACAGGTCATACTTCCCGCCGCCGGCTCCCGAACTATTGACAATTTCCAGCAGCGCCGGCGGCACAAGCGGCGCTATCGTCACCTGATACCTCCCGATGGCCTCCAAAACCGCCCCGACTTCGAACCTCGGCATAATTACCACGGCTGCCCCCGCCCACATTCGGCGAGCACCATCGTCAGTGAGTACATGTGGAATAACGGCAGCACGCAGAGCGCCACGTCAGTCTCCCCGTCCACGTGGAAGTTGGGGTTCTCCCCTCCCCCTTGCTGCTCCAGGCACGCTACCAAGTTCCGGTGGCTCAGCATCACCGCCTTCGGCATCCCCGTCGTGCCGGAGGAGAAGAGGAGCACCGCCGTGTCGGAGGGTCGGAAGCCGCCGCCGCCGGATTCCGGCAACAATCTCTCGTCGGATTCCGCCAGCTCGGAGAATCTCCGGGAGTCGATCGTGAGGACTTTCGTATTCCTCGCGCCGCTCGATGATGTCACCTTTCCGGCGTAGCACGAGTGGGTGATGACGACCGCCGGACCGGAAACCGCCGCCTGCGAAGCGATTTCCGAGGCGGTGTAGTTGGGATTCGCGGTGGTGACAGTGGCGCCGGCCATGGAGGCGGCGAGGAACGAGATTACGAACTCCGGCGAGTTGTGGAGGAGGAGCATGATGACGTGGCCTCGCCGGATTCCGAGGCGGGCGTGGAGGCCGGCGGCCAATTTCCGGGCGGCGAGCTCAACTTCCGAGTGGGTGAGGGTTTTTCCGGTGGCGGAGTCGATGAGGGCCGTGCTGGACGGGTGGCGGTGGAGGTTTTGGAAGATGTACGCGTGGACGGGAAGGTGGTCAGGTATGGGGATGGCCGGTAGCTTGGATCGGAAAATGTGATCGTTTGCGTACGCTCTCGACTCCATCGAGCGAACGGAATTAGACGATGAGTATTTAGGGTTTTTGGAATGTTTTTTCTACTCTGAATATCGAGTGATTTGTGTATTTGTGTTTTCCTGCTCTGAATATCGGGTGATTTATATTGTGTTTTCCTGCTTTGAATATGGTGTGATTTTGTGATTTGATGGGTGATCTTGTGATTTGATGTTGAAAAGTGACGAGAAAATGAGTGAATTTTGGTTGAATTGTGTGTTGATCAGGTTGATACAATGGTGCTAAATAGCGTGGGAGATTACCAAGTTTGGTGAAAAGCAAAAGTAATAATAGTATATTATAATTGGAATTTGGATATGAAGATTAATTTGTGATTTTGAAAAATTAATTAGGTTAATTAAGCTTTATTAATCGACAATAACTTGACAACAAATAAATAAGTAGAGTAGTACTAGAGTGCTATTTGTGGAAATGAATTTAATATATCAAGATTTGCAAATTCAATTATGCTGTAGCTTTATGGTGGGAGGCATAATTTCGTGTTCAACCTTTCACATTTAGTCCAATTAAGTAAAAGATGTAAAATCTTTTATTTTTATTGTGTTTTAAATAATGTAACGGTCTTCATACCGGTGGTTGGACGAGCCATCGGTGCGCGTTTCAACTGATTTTATTCTTTATTTTATCAATTTTAATAAATATTAAATTAATATATTATTATAATATAAATAATGTATAAAATTAACTTTAATAAATATTAAAATTAACTAAAATTTAATATCAACAATGTAAATATATTAAAATTAAATATAGACCTTTTAATTCATGTGAATAAGTTAATAAAAATATATTATAAAAATATTTTTTAAATAAAAAATCCTGTACACTCAATATTTTAGCCGGTATTTTGGCCCATATTGTCCTTTAAAATCGATATTTTTCAGTATGAAATCGGTATAAACCAGTATTCTAGTCAAAACGGTATTTAAAGGGCAACCATATCGACCGGACCACCGGTATCCGGTATTGCCGATAATACCGGCTAAGTACGGTATTTAAAACATTAATTTTCTATAGATGTAATTCTTATTTTCTGTCACGTTAATTGAATTGGAGGAAACGTAAAGTTAAGTATAAAAATAACACGAGATTTGATATTTGTCTGACGAGAGCAAATTATTGTATATTTTAAAATATCTAAAATGTATGGTCGTTTACATATTTAATATTATTTTTTTTATCTTAAATTTGGACAATAATGATAAAATTTCTAAAAAAAATTAATTGCAAAAAAAAGTGGGATTTTTCTAAAGTCCCGTTGAGACTTTCAAGGAAACCATTGCCTCAAAATTAAACTAATCATAATCCGCCACAACATTTACTAACATGCACTATAATGTATGTTAACTTTTCCAATTTTAATTTTTAAGTAGACGTAGAAAGGAATGGGATAGGAATCTTACGGTTTTGCTATGGAGCCATCGAATGGTTTAACTTATGAAGTCATCTATTGTTATCCACAAATGGTGTATTGACACGTGTCCTGCAATAAATGCAAATTGGACACGTGTCAATACATAAAGTTATGGATGGCTCCATAAGGGAGCAATCCGATGGCTGCATACTGAGGGATCTTATTTTTCAAATATTTGAGCCTGTGGTTGCAGATATGATCATCAAAATCCCTTTAGCCATCAACAGTGGGCCTGACAAACTGATTTGGCATTGGCACCCTAAAAGGGGGAAATTTTTTCAAAATTGGTCCTATAATTTGGTCACTGTCCAAAAAACCACCCCAATATTGACCACTTTTAATTTAGGTCCTATACTTTGTCGATTTCATCAATTTTGGTCCTTTTTTATCCGCACCCTGGATTAAAAAGTGACGTGGCATGAAAAAAGGACCAAAATTGATGAAATCGTCAAATTATAGGACCAAAATTGACGTGCCACGTAGATCATAATCACGCCATGTAACATTGAAAAACTGACACGTTATGCCACGTCACTTTGTAATCCAGGGGCGGATAAAAAAGGACCAAAATTGATGAAATCGACAAATTATAGGACCTAAATTGAAAGTGGTCAATATCGGGGTGGTTTTTTTTGACAGTGGCCAAGTTATGGGACCAATTTTGAAATTTTGCCCCTAAAGGGGAGTTCACAGTGAAAAAAGTGTACAAAGCCATAAGGAGATACAAGGTCCAAAATCAAGGGGTGGCTAGCACGAGCTTAGATCCCATTCTGGTGGCAAGGATGTGGAAGACTACATGGCACTTGAATATCAAACCCAAGATTAAATGCTTCCTGTGGAGGTGTTGGTTTGAGTATATCAGTGCTAAAACTCAGTTGAGGAGAAGGGGAATGGAGGTGGAGGGGATTTGTGCTAACTGTGGAGAGGAAGAGGAAGACCTTACTCACTTACTATTCACTTGCCCAAGGGCAAGGAGTTGCTGGAAATTAAGTGGACTGAAGTGGATATCAATGCAGGATGAGCATATCAATTTCCAATCATGGTGGCTGGGGATTTACACTGCTAGCAATACTCAACTCAAGCAGGAAAAGTTTTTTTTTTTTTAACCAACACCCCAGTAGGGTGGGGGTTAAGGGCGAACCCCCAACCTGTATATAAAATGCCCTAAATGAGCCGAAAAGTCACAAAACTACAAGTCCAATGTTTGATATACATCCAGTCAAACGAAAAACCAAAAAAACAACAAATAAAAGAAAAAATACAGAGAAAAGCTGACAACTGCAGCGATAAATATGAAAATAACAGATCATGTTCCGGGGGGGAGTCCCGACTAAAAATGTCAGCATCACAGTGTGGCGGGTGCGCCAAAAGGTAGGTCCGGCTACACAAATCTGAAGGGTATCCCATCTGGTACATCCGTATGAGGGTGCTAGGCGGATAGGAATATCGTCAGGGTAAAGAATGCGTCTGTGGGGGGTGGAGGACTTGATGCCAGCGAGGAAGTCAGCTGGTCAGTTCCCCTCGCGGAAGATGTGCGAGATCCGGGAGCAGATCGACTGGAGCGTGGCTCTGATGTGCATGAGAGGATGTTGGATCTGCCACGTGCCCTGATGTCCAGATGACAGAAGAGTGATGACAACGACCGCGTCCAACTTATCCAAATGTGAGAGGAGATCGAGGCGGCAATCTGCAGACCAATCTGAAGCGCCTGAATCTCTGCGTCATAGGTCGAGGAGGCCCAAAGAGGGGCATGAAACGCGGTAATAAGGGCGCCGCTATGATTCCTAATCAGGCCCCTACCTCCTGCAACTCCAGTAAGTCGATCAAAGGCTCCATCAGTGTTTAGCTTAACCCAAGGCGATTCGGGTTTTAGCCAAACAATAGCTCTGGGGCGTGGATGCTGGACAGGCACCAGCGGAGGTCGTGTAAGGCAGTGAGGTGGCGTGCAGCCTGTCCAGTCTCTCTGGGTGAGTCTGCCCAAAGCGGTGAGGAGGGAGAGATGTCGATCAACCTGCAAAATAATATGGGAAGACAAAAAATGGTTATCCATATGCTTCGCGTTATTCCTTTCTGTCCAGGTGGCCCAAAGGATCAGATAAGGAATAAAGAAGCTCACGTGTCTAATGTGTGTGGTGTCTGAAAAAACTCATAAGCTCAAAGAATGTGTCTGTTGAGGGTAGGGGGATATGAGTGTAACTGGTATAATTCTCCCACACTCTCCTCACAGTCTCGCTCTCTAAAAACAAGTGGGTAAAGGTCTCTATCTGAAAATCGCCAGACTCGGGACAACAGTAGCAACGCGAGGGGAATGAGAACCCCCTCATCTGCATCACAGTGTCAATCGATAGGTGGCGCAAAATGAGAAGAAAAACAGAGATGGTAGGAGTAAGTAGGTTAGTCCAGATGGCCCCAAAGAGAAGGTTAGGCCGGTCACCTGTCGTACTTCCCCCCAAGCCGAGGTAGTAGAGAATGCACCTGAAGATGTAAGCCTCCACCTCATACCGTCCAAACTGTCCTCCGAGATAGGAATCTGCTGGATCTCATCTATCACCTGATCACTAAGGCCCGCTCCAGTACCCAGAATCCTCTCTAGTCTATCCCTATCCCATCTCTCATCAGTCCACAGGTCCTTCACCTGTAGAACGGAAAGGTGGGTGACCTGTCTAGTGCTCGAAAGGGGACCCTCACCGAACCACCACTCATCCGAAAATCTAACCTCCCCATCCCCAATAGACCAAAAAATGTGCTCCTGAGCACGTCTACCAACCACGGTGACCGCCTCCACTGCCTGCTATCGCGGGCGGTAGCCGTCACCCTAGAGGGATGGGCAACACCTCCAAGACAGTACTTCTGGCAAAGATACTGAGCCCAAAGTGACTTACCCTCCCTAAATCGCCACCACATTATGTAAGAAAATGCAGTGACGACATCCGAGAAACGCCGGATCCCGAGACCCTCCTCAGATAAGAGGCGGTAAACAGAGTCCCACTTCACCCAATGGACTTGTCTCAACTGGTCAGAATCTGATCTAGCTCGTGGATAGTAGACTGGTGGGAATCAAGGACCGTAAGGAGGTGAAGCGGCAGGGTGTTAGCGTTATATACTGAAAGCTTGGCTTTGCATATTATTACACATTTACCCTTTATGAATGAGAATCATGTTAGATTAAACAAGTTCTACGTTTTCTTGTTCTGTACTTAGATAGGGTGGGTCGTCATTGGGCGGACCGAAGATCACTCTATCAGTCACATGCAAAAAAGAATAGTTGTTCACAAACTAGATGGACATGAACACCCCATCCGAACGGTTGTAGTGTCAACTGTACAGTTTGTCTTGACTGATTAGTTGCACTAGTACATTTATGTATTGAACAGGATCCCAGAGAGGAGAAGTTCATTTTATACTGATCGTCGTAAATGAACTAGGCCTCGATTAATTACTGCGTTCTCTTAACCCGTAAGATATTAAACAGGTAGATATATATAATATATATTACTTTGATTCACATGGGTGAGGTTCAGTTCGCTGGATTAATATTCCTACTGTTTTGGGTAATATTATTATATATAGGTTGTACTGTTAGGATATTTACGGTCACCATGTGCGTTA